AGTTTTTAGCGGGTGGTCACATACTCCTGTGAGAATCTGCTGAAACCTGTGAACTCTCTTCCCCAGATAAATGCACATTATTTTGCAAATAAGTAAAAGAGGTGGGGTCAAGGTTAAGAGCTCCTGGTGTAAACCCTGGCCGTTTTAAGATTTTCTTAGGTACCAGACACCTTCTAATCTTTTGGAGACCCCACCCCTCATTATATCAGACATGGTCATATATATCCACAACCCACACTAAATTACACACACATACACACACACACACACACACACACACACATAGGGTTCAGTTGAATTACAGTGGACTGTTTGTCAGTGTTACATTTTGTAGGTATGTAACGAAACATTAATTTCAGTTTTGTGTTTTCTTTTCCTACTTTGGACCCCATAAACTTTTTTGGTAAATTTTATTGAAATGTACCATACCTATAGAAAAATATACAAATCTTAAGTGTACAGCTCAGTGAATTCTCAAAGGTGAGCCCGCCTGTGTAACCAGCACTCTGCCGGAGAAAACAGATCATGAGCACCCAGGAGCTTCCCTAGCCCCCCTTCCATTCAGCACCCCACCCCAGGTCAGCTGCTGTCTTGACATCTAACACCGTAGAATACCCTTCCCGTATTAGAATACGTTACAAGTAGAATCATAGCTGGTACTCATTTTGTGTCTTGTTGCTTTTGTGGAACTGATAAACTTTTATTTGGGCCTCAGACACCTTTAGAGGCCTGTGAAAAGGCTCATAGGCTCTGGGCACTGTCAAAATCGGGGGTTCTCTACCTTGTTTTCATGCTAGAACCTCCAGGAAAACTTTTTAAAGTTTTTAAAAGTCCTGATGTCCAGGCTGCACCCCAGAACAATGAAATCAGAATCTCTGGGGTTGGGTCCAGCCGTCAGTGGTTTCTCTTGCTCCCTGGGTGACACAGATTGCAGCCAAAGATGGGAGGCACTGGCCCCGGCAATTTTGTAAATTATTAGTACCCCTATCTTACATCTGGGGGAGGAAACTGAGGCGCAGAGAGTCTCCACCATGTGCTCCTCTCATAAAGCCTGAACTCCAGTTCAGATCTCATTAGGAGTGGTATTTGCATTGCCTTCATGCTTCGTAAACAGTGAAGCCCAAACGAAGTGTAGGTGCCTGCCAGAAACTTTCCTTACTCTAAGTCCTTCCGGAGCTGTGGACAAGGGAGCTGGGGTTTCCCAGGAAAAAAGCAGCACCTGAGGACTGGCCGTAGGGAGAGTCACCACCAACGGGACTCCATCTTTGCCCCAAAGAGTTTGGGAGCCCTGGGGTTGTTTCCCAGGCTGCTTTGATTCCGGGGTGCAGTGCCCGATTCTGCCGCTCGGCGGCACCACAAGCTTCTGTAAACCTGTGGTTTTCACACACCCCAACGGAAGCTGGAAAGCAGAGTCTGGCAGCAGTGACTACTGGGGAATGGCACCCGGAGCTTCCTGGGGGTTCCTCTGCTCCCTGGGGCCTGACGGGGCCTGTTCCTGGCTGGCGAGGGGGACGCAGAGACGTGGCTGTGACCCAACCCAAGGGAGAGGCCACTTTCCCCATAACTGAGCCAGCAGAAAAGAACCAGGGAGAGAGAAGCCATGCTTCACCTGCTTCTCCCGCTCTGCCCTTCACCAGGCTGCCCCTGTGGCTCTGCCGTTGAAGAGCACAGCCCACCCACACTCCTATGTTGCCTAGAAGTGCCAGCCCTGGGCTTGGAGATACCAGACACAGCTCCAAGTCCTTAACTGGGAATCTGCCAAATCCTAACCTAGGATGGCTGAGGACCTCAAGCTCTGACAGGGTCCCTAAACCGGGATTAACTTTGCCTAGATTCACAACCAAGCTCTTCCACTTCCTAGTTGTGTAACTTTGGGCAAGTTATTTAACTTCTGTGAGCCTCAGTCTCCTCATCTGTAAAATGAGAATAATAATCCACACCATACAATTGTTGTGAAGACTGAATGATTATGTGGCATCTTAGCCTAGCACATGGCTCATAGTGATAAATGTTAGCTACTATTGTTTATTATTACTACGAATCATAACCTATCCAATAGAACAGAATGAATTTACCCACATGTTAAAGAACAGCCTCCATTGTGACAACCCCTCACGCGCCAGGTTTGAGCAGAGGCAGTGAGTCCAGCCTGCCCCAGGGCTCAGGCAAAGGCCAAGCTGCCCCTTAGGAGCCGCAAGCACGAGTGTAAAAGCCACCCAGAGTCCCCTTCAGCACCACCCAGAGAGGAGCTCCCCAAAGCCTCCACCCTGGGGCTGGAGCCATTGTCCCCACAGTCTGGTGAGATCCTCTCTTGGTCCACAGACCAGAGAGTGTGACTCTGGCCACCCTGCAGGCAACTTCCATCAAGATGCCGTCGGCATGGTATCAGACTGAGCACTGGGTCAGGAGATCTTGGATCTGAATTTGGTATCATTGTCACTCAGCTGTGTGAACTGGGGCAAGTCATGTGACCTCTCTGGGCTTCCATTCTGCCTCGTTTAGATGATCTTTAAATCCCCTCCCAGCTCTAGCATGTGGTTTTACCAAAGTATCTGGTACACAGTAGGTGCTCAATAAGTGTTACTTAGTTTTATAAAATCCAGGATATGACTCTGCTAGGTTCCAACACCCACATGCTTTTCTAGCCTTTAAAACTGAACTACTTCTGTGATCCAACCCCTTAAAGAGCCCAACCCAGGGTCAGAGCTCAAGACATGGGTATTTATCTACTCATTACTGACTTTTGACCTGGCTTTCAGTCAAGCTGCTCCCTCCACCCAAGGCTGCAAGTGCCCCATAAAGGCTCCAGGTTAGAGGATCCAGAGCCTAGCCTCCCCACTAGACCACAAGCTCTAAGAAAGTAGGGGTGGTCCTGCCCACGTCAGCCTCACTGCTGCTTCAAGAACACACTCAGCCCTACCTCGTTGGCATGAGGTTGGTGGGCAGCCGGGCATCCCCTCACTGTGGCCCTGGGGCATAGTACTGGCACCGCATCACCATCGGGGACAGAAGGGGCACAGAGCCTCAAGCTGGGCAAGTCCTTTTATTGGAAAAAGAAATAATAAAAACAAAGGCCACTGCATCACCTGTGCCCGGCGATCCCACAGGAGAGGCACAGGTCAGATGTAAGGCCCGGCCACACAGTGGGCCAGAATGGGCATGGGCCAGGCTGCAGCCCTCTATGGGGGATCCTTGGACCAGGACCTGCCCCCCTCAGGCTCAGGAGCTGCCTTCTCCAGCTCCCTGGGTAGGCACCTCCCTCCCACACACTGCTCTCTTGTCCAAAAACAATCAGGCCCCGCTTTGGTTCCAGAAAGCTACCTGCAGCAGCTGGTCTTTCACATGCACTGGTAGCACCTCCTGCCGGCTGGGGCAGGCAGCCTCTCTCTGTCCGTCTTCAGGGCACAGGGCCGGGGCTGCTTCCTTCCCACTGGCCGCCCTGAGCCTTGGCAAGTGGGGCCTCATTGGTGGGATGCTTCCCTTCCCTTTGAAGAAAGGAGTTTGCCTTTTCCCCTGCAGGTTGCCAGTTCCTTTGAACATCCACAGAAGCCTTGTTTACACAGCTTTGGAGAGCTCCAGAGCCTGGGTGGGCTGAACGGGCAGCATGTGTGGCCCTGTTGCCTTGTCACGGGGAGCTTGGGGGAGGGACACAGAAGGTCCCAGAAGGCTGGCTCTCCTAGACCTCCAGCTTCTCTTCTCCTAGAATGTACACAGTAGAATCAGAAGGTGGGGAAGACTCTGTAGGCAGGGGAAAGACCAGGAAGGAGAGCCAAGCTGGCAGCCCCAGGCAAGGGGCAAGGAGCTTTAGGACATTTATTTACAAGGGGACAGGCTGGCCCCTTGCAGGGAAGCAGCCACAGACCATTACATACAAAAATAAGACAGGATGCAGAGAGGGGCAGTCATTGGCCTGGCAACCAAGGGGAACAGACAAGTGCACGGTCACATACACACACACACGCACTCACAGGTACGACCACACGTGTACATACACTCACACAGCTGCACTCACCCATGAACATCCACATGTGCGCTCATGCGCACACCTACCCATACACATGTGCATGTATGCACACAGTGCACTCACACATATGCACTCACACACGTGCCTGCATGCACACGCACACACTCTCACATACACACAGGTTCTAATCTCAGGAAGTTGGCTCCAGTTCTGGAGGTTCAAACCTCCCAAGGCTACATGTCTCCACTAAGCGTTTCTCCAGACCCCTGGATAACCTCGCAGCGCCCCCGGCTGTGTGCCCCTCAACCAGTGCCTGATGTCCTGCAGAATCTCAGGAGTTGGCTATTTCTTGGCAAGGCCAAGGTGGCCTCCAGGCTTTGAGCGGAGGAAGGGGAAGCCAGGAGCCTAGAAGAGGGGGACAGGGCAGCTCCCGTCTCCCCAGACCTCGAATCTGGTGGAGGCAGGATCACAGACAGGCAGAGCCCCTGCAGTGGCACCAGAGAGAGCAGACACTGGGAGACAGCCACGGGGAGCAGGACCCTGGGGGATTCGGGGTGAGGGATCATGCGGGATAAGGGCATTCTCTCTGGGACCTGAGCACACACACACACACACCCCCCCCCGTCCGTGCGGGATAAGGGCATTCTCTCTGGGACCTGAGCAACCCCCCCCCCCCCCGTCCGGGGTGTGGGGAAAGGAGCTGCAGAAGAAAAGGGCTGTCTAAACTGTGTTACCCCCACCCCCACCCCGCCCCAGCCTTTCCCTGGAAGATCTGGCTGCGTGTGACCCGCCAGGCCCCATGAGGAGAAAGTGCCAGGTCAGGAAGCAGGCCGTCCTGCCGGGGCGAGAGGCAGGAGGGGGAAAAAGGGGGCGCGGGTAGTTGGCCCGCGGGAAACACCAGGCCAGTCCCCCTTCCTCCCGCCCCCCACCCAGGGGAGCAGCGGGGGCCCAGAGAATGACTCAGAAGCGGGTGCTCTGGTAGCGCAGCCGCCGCAGGTCTGAGAGGCCCTCAGTCCGGCCATACACCTCCCTGCAGGGACTCTCGGCCAGTCACCGGGCCCCCGCCCCGCCGCCGCCGCCGCTGCTGCCGCTGCCGGAGCTGCTGCCGCTGCTGGAGCTGCCGCTGCTGCACCGGTCCTCGTAGATGGAGATCTCGATCTGTGGCCGGCGTTAAGGAGGGAGCCCCTGCCAGCTGCGGAGAAGGGGCGGACGCACCGGCGGACGAAGGCCAGCTGGGGAGCGGACGCGAGGCCTGGGCCGCTAGAACCCAGCCCCTCCTCGCTCTTGCACGCGCTCGGCGCGTCCGCAGCGACCAGCAGGGCGAGCACTGCGCAGGCGCACAACCCGGATCGGAAGCTTCCGTTCTAGTGGGTCTAATTACCAAACACCCGGACTGGTGGTGTTACCGCATGGGAAGTGGGAGGACCTCGGTGTCCCGAGTTCTAATCCTGACTCGCTTTCTCTCGAGCTGTGTGACTTTAGACCGGTCATTTAACTTGTTACCCATCAATGACCGCGAGTGTAAAATGGTGGCAATAATAGAATCTTGGGGTTGCTGGGGGACTGACTGAAATAACGTTTGTAAAGTGCTAAGCACAATGCCTGGCACTTAGTAAAAATGCAATAAAAAGAAGCCCCTCTTATAGGGCTTTGTAAACAGAAGATTCCGGTCTTTGTGTTTTCTTTACTCTTTTTCCTCTCAATTTTCCAGTATATTTTATTTTTTAACAACTCTATTCTCAGAGTGGGATGTGTGCACACCTTGACCATACTTTTCCAGGTGGAGTGAGCAGACCTATAACCCATTCCCGGGCCAGCCGCCCATCAACACTTCATTTTTCTGATCTGTGAAAGAGGGACACAGGACGTACACACAGGAGGACACGAGACTGTAGACATGTAAACGTGTGCAGAAGTCCGTGTGTTCCTTAAGGGGCAGTACAGCCTCACAGTTAAGTGTGGGCCGGGGCTCAAACACTGGCTCTGACGTCCACCAGCCGGGTGACCCTGGGCCAGTGATTTAACTAAAGTGTGTTCATGGACAGAGTAATGAGAGCTACCCACCTTATAGGGGTATTATGAGAATACAAGGTTTCAAAGCAGTTAATATGATACCTGGCATGTATCGCACTGAAGAAATGCAGGCCAGTAAAAGTAAACCCTGAAATTCACAAACGGCACTGATAACTTAAAGCAGGGAGTGGGGGGGAGCTGATGACCAATGATGAGGGGAATCCCTAGGAATCCCCTGAGCAGAGGCCCGTAAGGTGGTCCCTATTTCTGGGTGTCCTCACCAGGGAACCCACTGATTGGCAGCTCTGTGCCCTTGCACAGAACAGCCAGGAAGGGGGGCGCCAGGGTGGCTTAGTCGGTTGAGCGTCCGACTTTCGCTTAGGTCACGATCTCGCAGTTCGTGGGTTCGAGCCCCGCGTCGGGCTCTGTGCTGACTGCCAGCTCAGAGCCTGGAGCCTGTTTCAGTCTGTGACTCCCTCTCTCTCTGGCCCTCCCCTGCTCATGCTGTCTCTCTCTCTCTCTCCTAGAAATAAATAAAACATTAAAAAAAAATTAA